AGAATCCTGCAGAAATATCATTCAGGGACCGTTTATTCAAAGCAGGATTAACGCAAACCCTAGGTTAAAATTTAACCTGCTATTTCAGTTTCTCTATATCTGCACATCTGTTCATTTCAAAACTTCAGAAAAGAATATTCTAATTTATCCACACACGTTTCAGAAGAAATATTTTGCCAAGGTTATAAAGAAGTTGTTCGGCACAGTTTTGCTTTCAACTAAGTTAACCTATATGGTTTAGCTAACCTGCTTTTGAACAACCTGGCTTCAGATAAATAACTAATTAGCCTATCTATATAAACACAAAAGGAAATAACTTTATTTCTTAAGTGAAAATACTATACGACAATCCCAACTACCAGTGACTGTAAGCAATGTATTTGGGCATAACTTATCTTTGGACATAAATTTCGTAAGAAAATAAGACCCTATTTATAAATACCTGTTCAGCCTAATAATTTCCTGGGTACCATCTGAGATCTTGGATAATGGCGTTTGATCAGTACTTTTTGAAACTTTTGGTTTCTACCATGCATATATGTGATTTACTATGTACTATTTACAACATGAGTGGCTGCGTTGTATTGTATATATACAATCCGATAAAACACGGGCACTCATGATGTTGTTTGGAGAGAAAAATGAATGATATTTGGTGAGAAAATTGAACTTTAAAATATTCTAAATCAGCATGACTTTGTAACAGATATACAAACTCCTTCACGCCAGCGCTCGTGCATGATCTCTGTTTTCTTTACGAATTATGAACGAGTTTCATGAAATTAATATTTAGCAATTATTCGGAATTCACCGAGACGAACTGTAGAGGTGAATATTCTTCGATAATCACCGAGCCCGAGGCGAATAATTGTTTTAGTGTTTTTGCAAAGTCTTTTGTGTTTTTTTGTTGCTGAGTATATTTTAATTTTACTTATTTCTTTATCACTAACTTCCAAAAAACGGCTACACTGTAAATGCAAAGGAGTCGTTTTGACCCCTTGAGGTCATTTTGGTCCCTTGTGTTGAAGGGTAGTTTTGACTCCTCGGAAGGGTCGTTTTATATAAGAGGGGCGTTTTGACCCCACGATGAGCTAAAATGACTCCTCGAGAGAGTCGCGCGACCCTTCCTGAAGAGTACATTGGCTCCTTGAGGGGTAGTTGCTCGTTCATAGAAGACCGCGCATTTTTGTTTATGTGCCCTCCCTCTTCTAGGCCAGCAGCATACTTTGTAAGAGCACTTGCAAATTGACAATTGTATATTTATATTGCTATATTTTTACTATATTAAACTGCACATTTACAGGGAATGAAACAATTATTCACTATTTTGTCTTTTTACTAACCCACCGAACCGCATATTATGGTGTTGGAAGGTCCAGACGAAAATTTCAACATCAACAAAGCATCAACCATGTATTGACATTATACAGTTCCGTAAATATGTAAAGGTATATGACGAACAAACAATTTTGGCATTACCTTAGCAAGTCCAATTTAATATCTGGCAATAGAACTTTATACTGCTGTTTGCAGTATAAAGTTCTAATGATTCTAATTTCAGATTGGGAGCGCTTTTTGGTGTATGTATTTTAGAAGACAAGGGTCACGCAATGAGTTGTGGGATATCGTGTATCAAATTCCAAGTGTGATTTGCAAATTTTGGACTTTTTCGTTTGAGTACTGACTTCGGTCAAGAAGACCATGGAATTTATCTTATTTTGCACTGGATAAGTGCCTCCGAATGCTGCCGAAGGCTTATTGATCTCAGGTATGAAATGTTACTGTTTATATCATATAATTATAACGTACATCGACCGTATTTACCCATTTTATCTTGTGGCTGTTGGCCTGTTGTGGCTGCTAAAATTTGAATTTGCGCGCGAGGTTTTATATATTGAATTATTTCATTTCAATGCCGCCAAATAGTTAAAATCGACAATTCAAATTTTAAATAAACACATTATAGTAAATACTGGATTTCACTTGTTTGACAAAACTCGAGAAATCATGTTTGAACCCACATAGTATATAAAACAATATGTTAATATCAATATAAATATGGCTACATTACTGATTGCTTCAAGCCTTGTATTAAAGCTGCAAAAATGACCATTATTTGAGAGTATCAATTAAACTCGAATAATTATCTATCTGAATCATAAAATTGTTAACCCAATATATAGCTATAATTGATTACCTATTAAGATTATAAATTCAGTGCACATTTCTTGGTTTTAGCATGTAAATGATTGACTTTAAATTAAGTATTTAACCCATTGAGCCGGAATGTGCCCCAGTGCGGCCTACTTTTTTTCACTTGTCTAACGCCAGGTTTTTGACATGTATATTAACCCTGTATATATGTGCCTGTTTATGTAATAATGGCATGGCTGGACAGGAGGTTTTAATCCAGGATGGTGTGTTTATATAGACGGAATACACCCTGCCTGGCAGGGGTGATAGAGTGCTTGTATGAGAATTTCTTGTCCTGTCAGGTGTGATCCTGGCAACAAACAATGAGATCCTGTCTAGGCCAGCTAGAAAGAAGTAGAATAATTCACTTTACTGTAAACAGTCAATAGAGTTCATATTGGAAGCTGGATCATGCCAAATGTCTAGCCTGGGATCATATTAAATAGGCCTTAAAAGCAATTTATAATTAAATGGGTCTAAATTACTGCAGACTTTATAGTGTAAAGACAGTCAAAGCTTACAACGGCATAAAACTACTAAACTATTAACTATGGTAGTATTCTTTTTACATGTGCATGCAAAGTTACAGTAGATTGAATTATCTAAAAAATAACCATTAATAAATTAACACAATCACATTAGACACCAACATGCAGTCCAGCACTCTCCACTTAGCCATGATGAGTAAAATGGTCTGACACTAGACAGAGAACAATGATCTGGCATTCAAAAGACAGTAAAATAAGGAAGTAGAGCACAGGGCACAATACAACTTAATGGGTTCACTAGACACAGCATGGTCATGTTAACACCTTAAAACAGGTTGATGAGATGGGGGTGTTTTAAAGTGGATATTACACTAGGGCGGATATTGCATAAGCTGCATTGTGCCACAACTTTAAATATTGTTTCACTCCGTCTAATGTCAGATGATTTTACCTGTCAGGGGCCGGTTGTATCAAAGGCGTTTAACTTAAACGGTGGATAAGTCAAAATTATGAATCAAATCTATGAACTATAGACTACAAGCAAACATAACTTTTCTGTCTAGTAATCAGTGTGCGAATTAGTTGAGAAAAAACGATGTGCAATTTTTTCTCAACAAAAATGTACCTCCAGAGTCATAAAATTGGTTTAGATTGATGTTACATCTAGCTACTCAGAGTCACATTCAATCAAATACTCCATTAAGCCAACTACTATGGTGCAGTAATCTAATATTTCTAATACGTGCATTTAAAGTGCTTATGTCACAAAAAATGTTTTTTGATATTTGGTAGAGGACAAAAAGTTAGTTAATAGGTTCTTTAACATTTTTCGGTTTTCTCTTTTCATTCGCGAGATACGAGGCTCTAAACAGCGATTTTCGTAAAATTGTCGCGTATCAACAAGAGTCTGGGACGAGCGTGGTGTGACGTAGCTTAAGGGACTTAATTTCGACGCGCATTATACATTTGATATATTTTCCAGCATGTGAGGCAGTAGCTCGGATTCGGAAAGCACTAATAGTTCTCAATGTGACTCAGAATACAATTATATTCCTGGATATATTATAGAGGATGAATCAAATGATACTAGTCACGAAATTGGAACTATAGAAGCAGTTGATAGCGAAATTTTAGGCGATTATGATGCATGCCTTTATGCCGATGAACCGCTAGCCGGCGAAGAATGGTACGCACGATATTTCAGAAATTCAGCAGAACACAAGCAACAAAAAGAGATGCTACAGCGAAGGTTAGATGGCCTTGAAGATGTTAAATTATGGTGAGTGTAAACATAGATTTATTTTAACATTTTAACGTAAAATAAGTATCTCTGGCTAATATTATATTTTGCGGGATACGGGCTCATATGGCATCAGTCACAACAAAGAGTTAAAACCACACTTCCATCACCTTCGCAAGAAAATACAAGACACGAGATCAAAGAAAATATAAACAGACTGGTTCCGAGCAAATTACGTATATATTCTTGTTTGAAGCTACAGTGTTTATCTGTGATCACGTTTATTTAATACGAGCGATTGTATTTTCTCGCAAGTTCAATTCTTAAAGCCCATTTTTCCAAACAAATAGGTCTGAATCCCGAGTGTAGAGTGATACAGCACGGCGGCTGTGGCACATCTTCTAAAACGAAGTTATCCTTCAGAACATCCCTACAAGATTCCATCTCCTGACAGCACCAAGCTTCGTGTGTATATTGTATATGTATTATCGCACAATCGCCGCATTTACACTTGTGAAATATGATACAGGAGTAGTAATACCCCCCCATATGGAGTACAAAGGGATGCCGCCGATGACGTCACATTGCTCCGAAAGTAATTAGTATGGCCCTAACCCTAACCCTGGGCCAGGTAGCGCGACCAATTAACGCGGGCAGGCCTGGGCCAACTGTGACAGGTAGCGCGACCAATTAACGCGGGCAGGTCTGGGCCAACTGTGGCAGGCGATCGATTAGCATTACAATGCACTAACGAGACCAATTAACGGCACAACACAGTAACGCGACCAAACAAATTATCAGAGATTATAAATATCGTGTATCAAACACACGTTTCATTTCTCACTGTTGCATTTTGGCGAGTGGTCTCTGGTTTTCTCAAGTGTTGTCTGGTTCTGAAGTGTTCTCTGCTTTTGGATTGCGTTGGATTGTTTTTTTTTTTTAAATGGCTCATTCGGTAAGTTTGTGTATTTGTTTTGAATATATGTTTACGATAGTTTCAGAGTCATAGGCTGGATAAAATTTGTTTTTGAATATATGTTTACAATAGTTTTAGATTAATATGTTTATGATATTTCTAGATTAATATGTTGGATCTTATCAAAGCTTGTGAAGCTGAAAGTGAACTCGACTTTCTTCAGGAGTCGTTTGTTCTGACTGATGAGCAGAAGGAAGCTGTTCTTCAACAGCGCATTATATTTTGGACGAACGCGATGGCCGAAGATATTGAACGAGAGAATCCGATTGGAGTTGACCCTGATATGATGGCAAACTGGACCGAGGATCAACGTCGCCTGTTCAACGAAGACTGGGCCAATGATGATGGTTTATGCGAACTCGAACAGATATCTGAACCGCCAGAAAACCAAATAGGTGAAGGGAGCAAGCGAAGGCACGCCAGTGATCACGCCCCCTCAAAACGCCAAAGACCAGAGGAGTATTTCACTATTAAATCAGCCAAGCAAGTCAACGTGAGGAAATTCAGGACGACAGGTACACATTAAACTGTTTTTATATTTTTAAGCGTAACATCGGCTACGTGTGGGATATAAATTGTTATGTGCGAGTGAGGTTTCGTTTTTATTAGGCTCCATTTACACTATACCGGATTGCTATCGGAGTGGGTCAAATTTTGTAGGTATCGAAAGGCTGTGAAGATTTTTAATCTCAGAGCCCCAAATAAACATGCCAATTCTGTCAAACTAATAAGCATTTGCTATTAGCCATTGCTCCGTAACGGCAAAAGAAGATGTAGTGACCAGCGAATCCGGTATAGTGTAAACCGGGGCTTATAAGAGTTGTGTTTATTGCTTATATGTACATTTGTAGTTGGCTGTACGAAGGATGTCCAACAAGTTAGCTTTTTATAAATGGTCATAACTCTCAAATGAAGCCTTAGTATTTACAGGGTTTATGATTAGAATTGTAGCTAAATGTTTCGAGTGGCACAATCCGGTAAATAGCGAACTTAAGACCTACGACGCGGCTGGCTCAACGACGCGCTTGTGAAAGAAAAAAAAACAAAAAAAAAAAAACAACAACTTGTTGTGCAAGACAAAAACTATCAATAATTCGTGGTCTCAGGGGTATTTTCAAAGGCTTTGTCGTGCTAAAAAAACGTTAAACTAAGCATTATCACGACTTTCACGCAAGGTGAACGCTTATTGCGACCCTAAAGCCGTCTTAAAGTCGAAATTACAGCAAACACTGCATCGCTTTAGTCGAACTTAGCGGTTTTTAAGGTTATTTGAAAAATCTTCAAACATTTATTACAGTAATGCAATTGCTTAGGGCTCATTCTTGAACTGAAATTCAGACCGCGTCGTTGAGCTGGCGCGTCATCGATCTTGAGCTCTCTATTAGTGTTGTTTGTACAACCTCCCGTTTTCTA